CACGTTCCTCTACTTCCACTTCCCCACCTTCCAGCTCTGCATTCACAGTCAGCACTCTCTTTATGACAACAAAACCCCCTTGACCCTTGACCTTTTCAGTTCCTCACCAGGATGACTTCCATCTCGGTTCACCCAGCTCTATTTGTTCTGAGCCTGCAGGCAGCAGGCTCTCCCAGCACAGATTTCTAAGACTACAAATCAATGCCCATCATGTTGCCGCTGCCAGGCAATCCTCCAGGATTTCTATTGTGAGCATATTTCCCCACTTATCACTCAGTGGTGTCAACATTCTCTGCTCTCTGCACACCTCTAAGCTTTCCTGTGTCTCTTCCCTGACTCCCAGCAGATGGCCTTGCCTCCTGCTTCAGAGAGAATGTCATGTTACTGGAAAAGTAACTTGCTCACCTGCAGCAAATCTGCTCACCACACCTTTTATCTGTCTCTCTCCCACCTGGACTCTAGCTGTAGTTCTTAATTTAGTGAGTTTAGTTGATATATATATACAAAGTTAAAAGCATAGCACACTATAGGCTACCTTCTAGTGCTTACTTTTTCAATTTAACATAGAGTGTATGATTCATCCATTTCGTTGCATGTACCTGCAGTTCATTTGTTTTAACTGATCTTAAATATTGTGTGTGTGAAAGTAACACAAGGCAAAGGCAAGCCAGGATTCAGGATGCTGGTTACTTCCTGTGAGAAGAGGCCAAGGGCAGGATAGGGAAAGAGGACACAGTATGTCACTGTCAATATTCCTGTTATGATGCTGGGTGATATGTTCATAACTGTGTCTTATAATATTAATTTTAATACATAAATACCTCTGACAGGCACCTAAGATGAGAATGTGTCATGAACCAAGACATACAATGGGTAATATTACATCATTACTGTTATGTAATTTTGTTATATATTAATCATAATCTTACATTATTTGTTATGGGTTATATATTATATAGATGCATGAATTATATATTATGTATATAAACACCTACATATGTATTATATACTATCTGCTAATAAATAAACAGAACATAATATGCTAGTATACCTTCTATTATGTATTATTTAATAAATAATAACATACTATATACTGTTATATGGCATGGCACATAATCTTTAATAAAGTAAGAAATCTGTCACTATATGTATTGGTAATTAATAAAATTAAAAAAAAAAAAGCCCGCAGCTTTTAACACCGACACCGCTCCAGCTGTCACTGTCTTTTCTCTTCCCTTTCATGGCCGAGGTCCTCACAGTGCTATCCATTCCCCCTTTCCTCTCCTTATCCTGAACCTTCCTCCTCCTCCCATCCCATGCTGCCTTCTGCCCCGTGGCCCCTCTAGTCACCAGCGGCTTCTGGGGCACTGATTTGTGGGCACGGTCTCAGGCCCCAGCTCACCTGCCTGTCCGCCGCCCCTGCCACCACTGGTCGGGTGGGGCATGGGGCAGAGTGCACCTCTTGTCCTAGAAGAGGACACAGCACAGACTCAGTGACCAGCAGCAGGTGTGGCAGGGACCTGCAGGACTGAGGGGAGAGCCAGGCTGTCTGCATCCAGACTGGGGGCACTTGGAGTGTGAAGAAACCCAGTCCTCACTGCCCCTGAAGTGAGGAAAACAACCTCAGGTGAGTTAAAGTGTTTATGACCTAGGTCTGTTGGCTGGAAAGGACAAACGGGCCCCTTAGGGGCCCTCCCTTAGGGGAGGGTAGTTGATGTTCCAGGCCCCACCAAAGCCCTAAGTGCTGGCGGGGAACCAGGCTGGACAATCCACTGGACCCAGTGCCCCCTTGGGGGTGGGGCCTTCGGGAAGAAGCAGAAAGCCCTCGGTCTCTGGGGGGAATGGGGCAGTGTGGGAGCATCCCTGCAGCGAGTCAAGTGAAGTCAGGGCCTGCAGGATCCATTTGTATGGCCACACCGAGCCTCAGCAGAAGCCACAGCAGGAGTGGATTCCTGTCTCTCCAGGTGCCATCGTGTCTGAGTGCCAGGCTACAGACCCGATCCCCTGTGGCGCTAGGACAGTTATAGACAGAGGCGGCTCTGGGAGGCCTCAAGAGGGCGGTACTGGCCTTCCTGCCAACACGATTACACGGAGATCAAACAATTCATCAGTGGGAAGAAAATAAGAACCATGGTCACATCTGGACCCCAAGCTTAGACGTGGTGCATGGGTGACATTTATCAACAATCCAGCGAGGTTCTGGCCAGAGTTAGAAGCCAGGGCAGCAAGCTGGGAGTGACACTGAGGAGCATCGTTGTGCAGAGGCTGGACTGGGTGTCTGCAGGCTCCTCCCAGGAGAAGCCTCAGTGTTTGGGAGGTGGCTAACATGTCTCCTTCGTGTCACCAGCAAGTGATGCCACCTGTGGAAAATCAGCTGTAATCCTGAGATGGGTCAGCCCTGGGTGATGTGAAAAAGGCTCCTACAAGAGGGGGCCCCAGATGGACAGTGAACCAACCAACAGGCTGATGAGATTCCCACCTGTGTTTATCGTGCTTTCATAGCCAAGAATGAGGAGACAGTTGAATGGCTCACCATGAATATTTTAACAACTTGAGAGGGTTCCATGTCTCACTGCATTTAAGTGTCACCTGGAGGAATTCAGGCAGTGTTTAGACCCAGGGGAGGCTAACGGCCTCTCGGTTCCTCATCAACCTGGCAAACCCACCAGCCCTCTATGGCCAGACCTTGGCAAGGGCCTTCCCTTGTTATAACAAAACCCTTCCCACGCACGCCTGTGGTAAGCTTTTGTTTTTTTTAATTAACGGGAATGAAGATACCTTACAGCCTCCTCAGACATTTCCTTAGGGCTTCTCGCCTTAGACCCCAGCAAAGGGGCCCACTGCCCTGGGTCCTGCACTGCAGAGGGTCCCCTGGGCCTGACACTTCCTCTGGCCATGCCCTCCATCGGGTGGAGTCAGCAGGGCCAAGGGGACATGGTCATTGTCTCCATCCTGTGGTCTAGAAACCTAGGACCCTGAATGCCCTGCCTCAGCAGCCCCTGACCCACTTCTAGTGCCTGCTCCGGCTCTCCCTGGAGTTCAGATTCCCAGGACTCACAGAAAGGCCAAAGGGCAGCTGTTTGCATGGAGGTTATAGGCAGAGCCCGGACGTGAGGTCTGAGTGTCCCCCTGTGCACATCCAAGGCCCCTTGTGGCAAGGCATGGACCCAGCATTGGGAAGAAAAGGGTCAGGCTAGTGATCAGAGTCTGGGAATCAGCTCTCCCCACATGCTCACTTACTTTGCCAACTCCCCTGAGTCTGGGAATTCTAATTTTGAACCTGGCCTTCCCCCTTATAATGAATGTGTATTTGTAAAGGCAGGACTTTATAACCTACTGCACTTAAAATGTTTAGATATATAGGATGTGAGTTCCCAGGTATGCTCTGGAGCTGCACTTCCAAAGGTCCAGAGCATTTGTGTTGGCTCCACTGAGACTGTAAGCGGCAAAGACCGTCTCCAGAGAGGAGGGGCTCCTGCTTCACTCTCCAAAGTCATGATCTTCTGAGTGGATAAAACAATGGACACTGAGACCCTCAATTGTAAATTGATTTAGAATAATGCCAAAGGTGTGTATGACGTGTGTGTGCGCACGTACGCACCTGGGGAATTGTGTGGCACATAACTGAGTGTGTGTGTGGCTGTGCGCGTGCGTGCCTGGGGATGTATGTGGTTGTGTATATGCTATGTGTGTGTGTGGTACATGAGTCCATGTATGTGTGTGTGTAGGAATGTATGTGGAGCAGAGTCAGTGTGTCTGCACATGTGTTTGTGTGTACGTGCATGCATTAGTTTTAACAGTCGAAGCTGTCCTTTAGAATTCTGAAGTAGTAAAATTTGTATGATGTCTTTCACTGTATAATTCACAATTAAAAAATCTTCAGTCACCAGAAATTTATTCCCCCCAATTCTGATTTTTTTTCCATATTG